ATAAAATGTATTATCAGGAAAAGTCAGAAAAATTTTACATTTACAGTGAACAAAATTAAACAAACTTGCAATATCATATTTGTAGATATCCAACTTGGGTCATAAACTGCACACGTGACTTTTTCCAATTTTAACCCAGATAGATAATACCCCTGCAAGAAAACACTTTTTCTCAATACTTTATCAATGGGTAAGTTTTATAGGATACACAGTAACTTGTTTCCACTATAACAGTAGGCAGTAACTATAGGATATTTCTACAGGAAAATAACATGAATTTAAATAAGTGTTTTCTAAATAAAAGGATCATCTTCTTGTTAATCTTTGTCCAAAAGCTTTAATCTTGCTTGTTCAAGTAGCCAACTCTTCAGCAAGAGCTGCCTCTTGTTCTGTATTGTATAAATAATATCTTTAATTTCCCCAAACCAAGAAAGTACATATTTATTAATTTAATTATTGAATGCCCATGCTTGTTCATTTCATGGTGCTATTTAAATGAGGCATTTCGTGTACAACCTTTTAGATTAGAAGACTTTCACCACACATAACTTTCAGAGACTTATCTGGCCATATATTCTGAACTTTAAACCCAATACAGTATTCAGGAAAAGCAAAGAAAGTAACAAAAAGGCTACACTGCAGCATGTTTGAGCTATTTCATCAGCAAGGGAAGAAAATAAAGCTGCAAAAAAGTTTGGACTAATAACAAAAGGAGGTGCAAATCATAAGGATGCTTCAGTGGCGAAAACAAGAGAGAAATTGAATTTAAAGAATAATAACAGCAATTAAAACCTCTGCCATAACAACATTTTATATCTAAAGAAATACAGCATTCACAAAATACAGCAGGTTTTGATTATATATTTCTGTAGTTAAAGGTCAAAGACTCTGTCCCACATTAAGTTCTTAAGAATCAAGAACAATTTTCTAAAATAATGTATTTCACAAGTTAACAAATCTATTTTTAAGTATGCATATTTTTTCCAAAAATTATGCAAGGGTTGAGAATAAACTCAGTAGTACTTTTAACTTTTCTCCCTTCAAAAATGTTAGTCTTGAAATTACTTTAGCCTTAAGGAATCTTGGGTTGTTTCAAAAATCCTAACAATAATTCAGGTTTTGAAAACCTTGGCTGTACAAGATAAAATGGGATGTAATGACTCGGGATGACAATATTAACACTCCAAAGCAGAAAGTATTAGATCAGAGAACTATGGTCGCCTTTGCTTTCTTCATTCCAACTTTTTGCTAGTGGCATTTCATACATAGCTAAATGGTTTCAAAATATGACCACAACTAACAAAAAATTATAAATCAAATTGCTAGGAGAGATAATAGGTTTTTCAAAAGGCCTGGTAAAAAGTAAGCACTGGGTTTTAGATATATATTTTTTCTGTTTTATCATTCCTAAGTGCATATCATTATTTTTACAAGTCTTGAAAATGGTTAATTGCTTATATATCATTGTCATTTTCTTGGTCTGATCCCTATCATGGAAGATTGAACACAGAATTTTTATTAAATTCAGTAAGTCTGTCAACAGCAAATGCATTTTTACCAATAAAAATACTTTAAAATAATTATAAAACCCAAGTTGGTTTAAGATTAAACAAGTTGCATAAATCCCTCATGGAAGTTCTAACTTATCAACAATACAAATCTCATTGGGAAAAGAAGCAATAAGATTAAAACATGAACATGATATTTCAATAAAATAAGCTTAATACCACAGGATCAAGAGTATGACAAAAAAAAGTCAACTTAAATATTGACATCAGAAATGCCCATTTTACTTCAAGATTTCAGTAGTGCCATTTAAATTAATCTACAAGACTTGATGACTCTTCAAATAGAGGACAGTAGCAATTCCATATAAAGAATTTAAAGGTCTATTGTAATTTTCTAAGGGTCCAACTCAACACAATGTGTATGGTCTTCTGGAGATAATCAGCTCTCAATTATCATCCCATAGAACTGGATTTAAAGTCAAACTGAACATCCAAAGTAATGATTGGAGGTTCAATCTTCCATGAAAAGAGAAGAAATGGTGGTACCTGCCTGGCTAGGAGACAATGACTTGGATAAGAACCCATGCATCACATTTCGTGTGCTTTCTGTACAACTTCTCAGCTCAATGTGCTGATATACATACTGCATATTTAGTTATACATACTGTATCTCCAGTCTGGCAACACTTCACATTTCATTTTCCTTCCTCCACAGGAAGGGAAAATGACATATTAATCTAGAAAGATGTAGTGAAATTGCATAAGCCTAAATGATCATGGCAAAAAGAACCCTAGGGTTTCTCCTTATAGGCAGATCTAAGCTCTATAGGCTCTACTTTGGCCATTAGACATAAAACCAGTTTTTTAAAAAAAAAATTAAGAACCACCTTGAGCTTTGTCATTAAAATATTATTGCAGTCTCTGCTCCTACTGTCTCTAAGTATGGGGAAATACACATTAATGGTCACAACTAGCAACTATAGCAGTGACATGATTATTAACTAAAAAATGAGAGGTTTTCGTCAAGGTATAATGTATAAATATATAAAACATACTGAAATAGTAGAAACAATTTACACTTGGTTAAGGCTCAGATTCCATTGAGTTATATCTATTTGATTACTCTATGATGGTCAGTTTCCTGCATTTTGGTACTCCTCCTGATACCTAAACCCTAATGGAATATGTATTCAGGTTATATATATTTTTAAGTCATATGAGATCCAAGTTAAAAGAGGAAGTAATTTCATGCCAAAATAGCTAAAGAAAAATTAAAAGCTGACAGACTTAGATTCCAGGAAGATTGGGTGGAGAAAGGGATGCAAACTAAGTTTTGGAAACAGCATCATAAAGGCACATAGAAAAGGTGGGTATTTTTAAGACTAGAACTCATTCAGTTCTTAAATACTGTACTCTAGGAGCAAAAAGCCATCCAACCCTTGACCCTTAATGAAGACCTCTGTGATTGTTCTTGCTATTTTTTTCCTACTCTTTACCATTGTCTGAAAAGTATTATTTGGATTTAATTGCAAAGGCTACTTTTGGTGCCATTTTCAAACATTTTATGTGTGCAAGTTAAAGCAGGATCAAAGGATGACCTTGTTAAATGATAGTGTGAAGGCCCTAGACCTTTTCCTAGGTAAACATGAAACAACCAAACAAACGCAAAAAAAAGAAAACCAAACCCAAAGCCCCTAGCAAAAGACCAAAAAACACAAATCCCCCCAATCTCCACCCCCTGCCAAGTGGTTCATCATATCCTAGGCACAACTCTCTTCACCACCTTTTTATATCCTGATGACTGTCAGTATAAATCTTACATTAATTACCTTGGCATTTATTTTGAAACCCAGACACTTCCCCTTTTTCTACTTCATATTTGCCTATAGGTTTCACTTTACAGACACAAAAATCAGAAAACAAATTGAAAGGAAAAGTTCTGATTTCCTGGAAATACCTGTCTATCCAAGAAAATCTTTACAGAGATAATAATCTTTTACCCATGTCTCCCTTTCAATTTACCTTCACAAGATGTAAAATATTAGAGAAACATTGTCCTGTTGTTTACTATTTACAACATGATTAAGTCACCTATGCCAATGTAGCTGTATTCCCTACACATACATCCATTAAAAACCACACAGGAGCATGCATGTCCATGCCACTTGAGTTTTAGAGAGATATGTTCAACTCAAGTGAAAACTTCTTTCCATTGCTCACAACATGTTTGATTTCATACCAAACTGCACCGTCTACAGTCCTTCAAATTATGTTGATGTTATGCGTTGACAGTTTCTTTTTTTATAGCAACACAAAAAACCAGTTTTCTTTCACTCTCCACATAACCCAACATTGCTGAACTGCTTCTGCTGAAACTTACGAAAACAAGCCTATCCACTTGCAAGCACAGTCCAAGCTACCTTAAAGATTTGACTAAACTTTACAGGAATACTACTAATATACTTGTAGAGATATCTTTAAATGTGTACATATTAGTTTAATGATAATGCCTGCACAAGATATTTCTACAAGTAAAATGATCATTAAAGCCATCATGAATGATTCAAAGGATGGGTATAAAAAAATAACCAAAATTAGGAACATATTCAAAATTCCTTCCTGTGAAATTTCTTAACAATTTTTAAAAATTGGTTGATTTTCTGTGAAGCTACAAGAAAAGAACTCATTATGATTCCTGCTACACACTTGAGAAAACAAGTATCACAAGACAAGACTGTGGGACAGCCGGAAGGACTAAATATATACAGTTCTCAGACCAACTCTCTATCAGTAGCATCATGATGTGATTTAATATTGCAGCTGAAGAAAGGAGATTGTGCGAAGCAGCAAGAGAAGGGTTTCTCCAGAATGCCAGTATTTATCTTTTTCCTACATGCAAAAGATATTAGTAAATGTCAGCGTACAAATGCATTCTAACTCAAGGTAACAGTTCATCAGCCTCATCTGCAGTGGTGACCCCTATAAGCTTCACAGCCCAGAGTAACAGATTGTCTGGACGCTGTAAATATTTATCACGTGTTTCCCACTCATCTGCCCTCCCGAGTGCCCGACGGTATTTGCACACATCAAACGCTACAGAATTACAACAATCTGCATTCCCCGCTTCACTGCGCTTATCTCGCACACCAGAATAGAAGAAATTAAGGATAGTTTCAAAAGTAATTTTGGGGCGGGGGGAAGTAATCCAGTTAAATTGACTTTAATAGCTGTCAAGAAAGGGGAAGGGAGGAAATCTACGGACTTTCTTCGGACCGCAAGAGAAACTAAGAGATCCCAGCTCTCGTGATCCCCTAGAAGCTATTTATAAATAATCAGCCAGAGGGAAGACGAGATGCTAATGACCGAACAGATCCCTTCCCTGCAGTTCTGAGTTAGCGGTTTTATTTTGTAATCCACTCGATTGCGACAGAGCCACTGCGGGGAACCGAGCAGATGGGCAGATCGGCGGGCAAGTGAAGGGAAGAGCATTACCTTGCGAGAAGCAGCGTGCCGGGAGGCGATGCTCCTGCCGCAGTTTCGGTGGGGAAGGACGCGGGTGCCGGGCGGCCGCCGCCGCCTCCCGGGGCGCTCCCGTTGCGGGGCGCGCGCCGCACCGCTCCCCCCGCGGGGCGGGACTGACGGCCCGGCCGGCCAATGGGCGGGCCGCGCGGCCGGGCGCCGACCAATGGGCGGGCTGCGCGGCTGGCGCGCGCTGCCTCCGCGCGCGGTCCGGCGGCGGCCGCGGGTCCGTGCCACGCGCGCGGGGCCGCGCCGCTCCCGGGGCCGCCCCCGAGGGGAGCGCAGCAGGACCGCCGCTCCCGGCGCCGGGATTCCTGCCCCGGAGGGGTCAGGAACAGATTCTCCGGCGAAGCTCGGGGCTGCGGGAAGCTAAGGCATCACGGCGGCAGCCTGCTTACTTTCGTCGTTAACTGCCGTTGCATAATCCGTCAAATCTGTTCTCCTCCTGGATGAGCATCGCTGCCAATCATGTCGCTGCCGCTCACCACAATAATTGCGAGACAGCTCTCAAGCGAGCCAGACTTAACTCTGAGCTGCAACATTAGAGGACAAGAAATCCTCTCCTCTACTCCTAACACTGCTAGAAGAGGAACATCAGAATGCAAACTGCAGTCGTAAAGCACCTCCTGAAGTACCTTGCTATTTCAAGGGACAGAATTTTAGGCGGAGCAAGGACCTGGTTCATTGATCCGAATCTCACTTTTCTACGAGTAATCTTCATGCTACTCTTCCCTGGAAGTTCTCCATTCTTAAAGGCACCATGAAGGAAGAAAAATGTTTTGGAATAACCGATTTAGGTAAAAATAATAGCAACGATTCAGAAGTAACAAAATTAAGGTTAAAATATTTCTAGTAACAGACATAACCAGGAGAAAGAAATAATTTTGTAATTTCCATAGGCATTTAAGACACTTGCCTAGTCAAATATTGTAAAAAAATGGTTTTTCTCACTGTAACTTGTAGCCTGAAAATGTCGCACATCATTTTGCTTCATTAATTAGTTTGTTACATTCGTTATCTAATTGTGCAGATCTTTCATAAATAATTATGATCTTACTGAACTTAAACAGCAAACATCCATCTCTATTTGAAACACTAGAGATTATCAGAATCTTATCACTTTAGACCACTCACATCTTTCTTTCCTTTTGAGAACTTAACAAAATTAGTTTTCCTGCTTTTTACCTGAAATTTTTGACCGTCAGCTGTTCACCTATACATGTACTAGCTCATACTCTGCCTATTGAGACATGTCTGCAGACTGGGGAATGGAAAAAACCCTGGCTGAAAGCAAGTCTTTATCCTCTGATGTCTAGAACTTTAAAACAAAGATTAACAATTACTTTCTTAGTAACTTAATTTTACAAACACGTGATTTATGTGGAAACAAGAGTTCACAGAAAGCAACCAACATGAAATGATTATGTCAGGCTGGGCTGCAATGTAGGGCACAGTGAGAGCAAAACCTAATCTCTGAGAGGTTTCCACTTCATCTGCACTCATCTGCGTAATCAGCTTTTCATCTTGTCATAGGATAAATGCAACCTGCCTTCTGCTTCATTTACCCCATATAGAACACGGGTATAGATTTGTATGAAGCAACCAGAAGAGCTTGTGTAGAAATGTATTCGGAAAGGAACTCAACATCATTCCATTTTTAAAGGAAATTAAAGGTTGGAAGTCATTCATTTACTAAGTTAATATGCTAATTAGAACTGAAAGCTATTCACTACATCCAGCATGCAATCTGACCCTGCTTTAGATGAAAGAACCTTTACTTTCAGCTGTGATTTTGTGTATAGTAATAAACAATGGCTGTTGTTGAAGCCTTTCAGGAGCTTTTACAAACTACTAAACCCCAGTGAATAACCCAACTTGAGTGGAACTAGTGTAATCACTCGTTTCAGTCTCGTTTCATCTGTGTGCAGAAGGCTCATACAAGTGAAGATCTTCACGGAGCAAAGCAGTAAGCAGTAACAGCCTCCTGTTCAGGCTGCTTCTTGATTTGGAAAGGCTGGAAAATCACCAGAAATCATACCTAACAATCAAACACTTAACCAACAATGTCCTCAGAAGTAATGTCTGATTGGCTTTGATGTCTGACAACCTACCTCTAAACTAAGTTCTAAGGACTAATAATGAGGATACAGGCTGGCCAACTTCATATTTATACTTCTTTGTGCTCTTCTCTCAAAGGATGAATATTCTTCTGTATTATTGTCAGAAACATGTTCATGTAGATATATGATAATCTAAGATGAAAATGTATGGGTAATCTACAGGTACATGAGGAAAACATGAACTGCATAATGCAAAAAGGGAAGTAGAAAATATATCACAATTTGCTGCCAAAGCAATTGTTACCAGTATGTTTGCACTTGAAGATCTAAAAAGCAAAGAGCCATCATCCATAAGACAACTTTATTATTCCTTTTTCTCCCCCATACCTGCAGCAAATTCTCATCCCTGACCAGCTATTTCAGTCTTTTAACATTTGTTTTCTTGTCTTAAAAGTGTACATCAGAGCTGACACTTCCATATAACAAGGGATATAAGATTTAATATTTTCATCTAAAAATTAATGCTTTGAATTCCCAATAAATGCAGCACCATAATGCAACAATTCTTTATCTACTTAAATTTACATGGCTACTTTTGCACCAAAAAGATTTAAATCTATTCGAGTTGTTTAAGAACATGAATTGAATGTATTTACATCATAGCAAATACATGCAGAACTCTAAAGCATTCATTTCCTCCTCCTGCACCCTCTCAAATCTCCCAAGTGTCATCATCCCATATTCTTCGAACCAAAACATCCTATGCCTTGGAACAGCAGCATCAGTTGTCATTCCAGGAATACCATGTACTAACTACTACTTCAGATTCTGACCCCCTCTGTCCCAGCTGCCAGTTTTATTCTCATATCTAAAACTCAGAAGATACTCTGCTCAACCATAATGAGAACAAATTGAAATTTTATAGAATCCTCAACAGGACCAATTACAATTCTAGTATTATTGTCTGACATAGAAAAAAAACCCAGAAAACCCCCCATCTAGTTAAGTGTAATAAACCATCTGTTTTCTTAAAAATTATTAAAATAAAGATAATTGGAATTGTAGGACCTTCATTAATTTGTATCTTCATATAGGAAAAAAACTACCTGTTTATATGAACAACATAAATGCAAATATACTGAAATGCATGTTTAAAATTGATTGGATGGAGGGGTTTTGAGCATTGCTTTTTTGTCTCCACAGCATATACTGCATTGTGTTAATTTGGTTTATTCATAAATTCTGGCCTAAAACTGTCTCATATAGAAATATTATAGTTTACATTAGTAGTCCATTACATACATCAATATAAAAGATTTTATCCTAATGAGAAATACAGATTTGGCTATTTCAAATTATACCAAATCACCCAAATTAAGTAACTTTGGCCAAAATGGCTTTTTCTCTGATTAATAAAATGGAACTTCAAAAGACAGCAGTAGACAATCTTTGTCATTTTAAAAATCCTGGATGTATGACTTTGAAGTGCTGCCAACTCTTGTTATTAAATGACCTGATTTTGGACAGGGAGGAAGCCAATCTTAAAACAAATACAAGTATGTGTATGCAAAATTCTGAGAGCAGGGTGAAAAATGACTTATTTTAATGGGGAAAGAACTATAATCAGGATTGTTACAGAAAGCAAAAAATGTTTCAGAAAACAATGTGGAAGATCTCTCTGGAAATGAGTATGTATGTAAGTAGCTAAAACACTGCTAAAGGTGAAGTGGTAGGACCAACTTCATCAGTACATTGAAATTGAGGTATTCTCTGCAAGTCTTACATGTAAGAAGAAAATTAAGGGAACTGATGACAACTACAATTTCAAAATTAAATTATACCAAGAGAAAGCTCCCTTCATTTGAATTTTGTACTCTGTAAAAAAATGCATGGAAAAAAATGCATGGAAATATCAAACATTCTCTAAAGATTATAAACACCAACTACTTGTCTGTTATTTGAAAAAGGGGGCATTGACTCTTTGGCATATACTACATACTAACAGATTTACATTAGGTTATTACACCATCAAGTCCTTCTAAAAATCAACAAAATTGGAACGACTTCTCATGCAAACTAAACACTAAGATTATGAAAAAAAAGTGTGTGTATGTATGTCTGGTATTAAATACCTTCTGGGAAAGATTAACAGCTGTAGATACAGACATTTATTTAGGTCAGTAGTGAAATTCCGTGTCCAAAAAAAAAGAAAAAGAAGGTAGTGTATAATGACCAGATATATGTATCAGCTGTAATGGTTGAAAGATTGTGGAGACAAACTGCCCTCAGAAATGGTCTTAAGAATAAAACAATCTTGGGACAGCAGAAAATCAGTATCGCTTCTCTCTCTGGTACATCTATTCATCTATTTTACAGTCACTAGTGAATCTAGAATCAAACTTTACAATACAGCTACATTTCCTTAAACAGAATGGATTCAGTTTGTGCAGAGATGTTAAAAGCTATAACTAAGATCCCAGTTTCAGTATGCTGAAAGGTTACATTCATAATACAGGACTCATGGAAAACTGTGCAGAGCACAAGTGGAGATCCTCTTGTCGCAGCACACTAATCTATATGCTGATAACAGGAATTATCAGCAGTAATTCTGCCTCCAATATTCACTTTTTTATACATGATATATATGCTACAGTTTAATATTTAAAAACTCTGGAGAGAAACAAAGAGGCCAAAATAATAATAAAAGCTTACTTGACAGATACAGCATATCTTAAAGACTTAAGAAAAAAAATCAGAGCAAATGTTTTTAATATAAAACATCTGGCAGCTTTGCACAATAAATAGAAACGTAGGAAAACAACCAATGCTTTTCTATCTAAATCAGAGGTCTTATATACATTTCAACCAGATGTAGTCAAGCAACAGTAGAGTTAATTAGATGCAAAATTATAATTCCTCAGGCCCAGTAGTCTGAAGGAAAAGGTGGAGAAGAAAAGCAATCTATGTAAAAAAAAAAGTCACACCTTCTTCTTCTGAACATGAATGTTCAGCATCATCTGAAATATTT